CTGGCCAACTAGCTCAGTGGATTAAAGCGCCTGCTTAGGCAGACACAGTGGCAGGACTTCGATCCGGCACGCGGTGCCGGCCCCACTGCCGGGCGTGCCGAGATGGTGATTACGACTGGGCATGATGGTGCACCCCTGTAATCCCAGCTCTTCAGAGGTTGAACATAGGCGGATCACTATGAGTCCAATCTACGTAGTAAGACCCTATACATCCTGTAGACCCTTTACTAAAATAAAAAAAAAAAAAAAAAAAAAGAACCAAGAATAGTGTAAAATGTAAAATGACACGGAGGCTAAACTGGCAGTTAATTCTAATTGCCAGTATCTATGGGTTTATAATTAAATATTTACTATATATGTTACAAGAACTTACTTTAGGATAAAAACCAATTTTAACAGATAAAAAGCTTTACACTTATTTTATTTATTTACTTACTTATCTTATACACTCTATTTTAACCTCTGCCCAAATTTATTCCTCAACCCTATGAATATTCTAAGGATGAATGAGTCACTGGCCAACATTCCCAGGTCTGAAGATGGAGTAAACTGGCAAGTCCCTGCGGCGAGGTCTGGGATTTGGGAGGGAGAAGAAAGGAATGGAAACGAGGTGGAGGGAAGAGAGCCACAGGTGTGCCTCCGCATGTACCAGGAAGTGAAAGTCAAAGGGCACAGAGCAGCTGTCCTCATCAAACAGAGCCAGGCCCAAGCTGCTAGCCATACTCAATTCATCCTAAATTCTAAGGCAACTATTCTCCACCCCTAGGGAGAAAAAATTTTACTTGTCATTTTCAAATACTATTTATTTATAGAAGTGATCCAGCTAAATTATTTTCTGAAAACTCATTTTAATGTTTAAAATTACTCTCTCACTTAAGAAAGCATTCATTATTTAGCAAATAATTTTTATTTTACTTTCCATCAGGAACTAAACACATACTACATTACAGAAATAGAGTGCAGAATACGTAAGACACTATACATTTTTCTAGCAGCTACATTAAAAAATAAAAAAATGAATAAATTGTAACTTTTATTTAACAGATATATCCAAATATCATTTAAATATTGATCATCATAAAAATAAGATTTTCCTTTTCAATTAAGTTATTATTCAGTGTGTTATTTTATATTATAGCACATCTCAATTGTTCTGACCACATTTCAAATATTCAATAGCTATCTGTGGCTAATGGCAACTGTATCTATTAGAAAAACAGTATTTATACTACAATATATCTTACTACCTCACATTGTTTAGATTTCGATCACATTTAGATTGAGATTTCCTAATATCTCTACTTGAAAAAGATCACATACACAAGTTGCTCCTCATAGTTTCCAAACTGACCTAAGGACTCAAGTAACTAATTTCAGTTCTGAAACTTAAGCCAGCCTTTTCCTCAGTTGCATTAGCCACAACTCAACAACCTGATGGCCATGAAGGGCTGGTAGCTGTGGTCCGAGACAATGTAGTGCAAGTTTACAATATTAATTTTTTTTCTTCAACTTTCATTTCAACTAATTTGGTCCAAGGAGACAGATGTGCTTTTCTAATCTAGAAAATACAATCCACACAATCTTCCGGACATTAAAGCAGCTTCTCTGAGCCCCTGAGGAGTAGGCTACAATTCCTGAAGTTAAGCTCCAAGCCTGAGCGAAAGCCTCACTCCCCTTCCCTAACTGACACAGTGCTGACTCCCACCCTACCACCTATGCTACAACTCTACCCTAAGTCCTAGCCCTGCTGTCCCTAACCCTAACCTGTAAAGCGGCACCCTCCTACTGGCCTTCGTCGTGTTCCACTGTACCTCAGCTGTTGTCATCTGAGCACAGCACACAGCTTTGGCAATCTGCAATATTCTATTCTCTCCAGAAGCTAATTTTAAAAATATGGCTCAGGAATTTCTTTTTCTCGCAGATGTGTCACCACCATGGAACCATGGCCCAGGAGCTGTGTGTCTGTCTCCACGACTCCTCTGGAAGGCGTCTCCTCCTCCCACCCCTCAGCTTCCAGGGGCCAGCAGTCTTACCCTTCCTTCTGCCTGCGCAGTGCATCAGGCAGCTCACTCTGTCTGGCCTCTTCATTTTGCATGGTATCTGTAAACTCCATCCATGCTGTTCCTGTCCTTTAAACTGCTACCTTGTTTGGAATTTTATGAATATTCCAAAATATGTCCCTTTATTCTCCTACTGATGGGCATTCAGGTTTTATCTAGTTTTTTGATATAAAGTTGATAAAGAGATTAATAATAATAGATTTAAGTGTAGAGGGAACCCAAAATAAACATTCTATATATTTGTACTGTTTTCCCTCTACTACACTGGACTTGCAATAGAAATGGATGCTTTATATACTACACAGAATGAAGTCAGAGACAGTCCAAAACAGGTTCACACTTTAAACAGAAGACATACCATGTACACCAGGGATCATTACACATGTTAAGTGCATGCACAGTGCATTTGCATCACATCAGCAACCACAAACATTAAACAAACAGATAACACAATCCAATTCCATTTATGTTACATTTTAGCATCTGCTCTACATTTTCTCATAAATCAAGAAAAGATTAATTCCAGCAAGAACAAAAATATATATTGTAACTTTATCAACCCAACAACAAAAATCAAAGAAAATGAGAGACTGCAATCTTAAAAAAAAGAGTTAACAAAAGCTTGTCAGTATTAATTTGGCCACTTACACAAGCTCATTAAATTGGAGCACATGAGATTTTTGTTACTCCCTAAAATTAGCACCAGCTTATTTCCCTATCATCGCCTCCACTGAGTCTGAAGAGTGACAGGCCCAGGCCTAGAAGGCAGAAAGGACTGCGGCTTTGCCTGGATGTGTCTTGGGGCCTGCTCCATGCGGGAGGTCAAGTTAAAGGGACTGCATCCCACTACAGGTACACAGGACAGCAACTAATGTCACGTCTTTCTTTGCTAGAGCACTACTCTTTCCTAAACCAAACATTCTAAAATAAACTCAACGAAAGTTATTTTATTGCCAATATGTTTCTAGAAGCAAAATCAAAGTGGCAAACAGTATGAAAGTTACTACACAGATTCATTAGATAAACACACGTGTACAGAGAATGAACTTAAACCTTTAAAAAGCACTGTTGGGTACAAGGATCACTTACATGTTTATTACTATAAAGTCACAAATTCACACAAAGACGATGGATGAAATCTTCCTATTTCTCTCCTTACCTCCCACTCTCTGGCTGCTGCTTCACTAGTAGGATCCTCATTTGCTTCAGGCTCCTCAATCCTTTTTACTACTATGAACCCAGGCTCTCTGGTGTATTCACCAGTGTCTTCTGCATAGATTTCTGGGCTCCACTGAATGAAGAAGGCATACAAGTGGTCTGTCCTATGAGAACAAGAACCTGTCAGAAGTACTATTTTATATTAGTTACAATTACAAAATTGTATTTGTGAAACACCTTGACAAAACATGAAGATTTAAATATATACAAAATTGGGCCAGCCAAATAGCTCAGCAGATTAAAGAACCTGCAAGCAGGCACAGGGGCAGGCTGCTTGATCCCCAGGCCTGCCATGCCAGCACCACCCCAGGGGCACACTGAGAGGACAATTGAGACTGGGTGTGGTGGCGCATGCCTGTAATCCCAGCTCTTGGGAGGCTGTACACAGGTGGATCCTTACAAGTCGGATCTAGTAGTGAGACCCTGAATATAATGGGCTCTACCATTTTTGTATTTTTTTAGACCCTTCCCTAAAAAAAAAAAAAAAATACAAAAAAAGTAGAGCTCATTATATGCAAGACCTGAATAAATAAGATTTTATTTGGCTGTGATCAGGTTGTTCTGCAAAAAATACATACATATATATTGAGTTTCCTTGACATGCTTTTGACTGGGTCAGATCTATATAAGAAAAAGATTTTTCTTCTTAAAGATATTGGTGATGAGAAAGGAAGTTGAATCCATAACTTTATAAACTCAGTCACGCAATGATCTAATAATTAAAATGTAAGCAAACAATTACTAGTTGTCCACTTTGAAACATGAATATTGTTTAACTGATTTTTTCCAAGTTAACAGAAGTTACATTTCCTTCAATTCTACATGATACCAAGTATATATACACATTTATTCATTCAGGGACAGGTGATCCATCTTTCAATTTTTTTTTTAAAATGTATTTGGTACAAGGTCTACAGGGTATACAGGGTCTTATTACACAGATCGGACTCAAGGGATCCTCCTGTTTTCAGCCTCCCAAGAGCTGGTATTATAGGTGCGTGCCACCATGCCCAGTCTCAATTGCTGTCTCAGTGCAACCCAGGGGGGTGGGGCTGGCACAGCACGCTGGGATGGAACCCGGCCATGGCTCTCTGCCTAAGTAGGCACTTTAGTTCGCTGAGCTATCTGGCCGGCCCTTATCCTTTAAATTTTTGATTTCCCTTCCCAATGTCTTATTAACTACAGTAAAGCCGGAGATTGCATTCTCTATTAAACCTTTTTAAAGACCAAATACACATCTTAAATATCTGCTGACTTTAATTAACATAAATAATTGAAAATGGATTAGAAAATTCTCAGCTAACATAAACAATAATAATGGATGTGGAAATTATACATTCTATCTAATGATAAAAAAATAATGGCTTATATGATAGCTGACATATTTAAAGGGCATTATGGGGCCAGGGAGATAGCTCAGCAGCATAAGTATCTGCCTGGCAAGTGCAAGGTCCTGAGTTCAATCTCTGGTACTGCAAAAAACAAATAAATAAAATTAAAAAAATAAAGGGCATTATGTTTTTATCTTTCAGATAATTTATCACTATCAAGAGAAATTTGGGGGCTGGGAAGATAGCTCGGAGAATAAGCACCTGCCTGACAAGTGCAAGGTCCTGAGTTCAATCCCCAGTACTGTGGGGGAAAAAATAAAGAGAAATTTTTATAGTTACATCAGTGTTATACAGTTCAGAATTCTAATTATATTAATTTTTAGTGAACACCAGCAAGGTTCCAGGACAGTATTAGAACAGTATTAAAACTCTATGTAAAAGTTAAAATATAACCAAGAGTACTAAAAAAACTAAATATAGGTAGAATTTTTCATTTTGGCACTTGAAGACAACTGCCAAAATTTGATTATCTGGTTCAATCCCTTCCAAGTATTCATTAATAATACAAATCATACTATCTACTCTCTACTAGTATCACGTTGCGTAGGAGGCACATAGTGCTCCATACATTTTGGTAGGGAAGGAGAAGATGGAAACCTTATCATTTTATACTCAAAAGGAGTTGTATTCAAAGCAACACAAATAAAGGCTTTCCAAGAGGTAGGCAGACGCTTCAGAGCTAAGGGAATTGATTTCTATATCCTCAGTTTCTTCATTACTCTTTGCTCAAACTAATCTGTAAAGTCAAGATATTGTGCAGATTCTTTGATCTTTGCTTTCATTAAGTATTTTTTCTATGTTGTAGAAGAGCATAAATTCATTCACGCAGATTTTTACCATGGTACATGCCTCAGAATATAAGCACTTCCAGCTTCCCAAGACTGGTGTGGAAGCAGGCAATAATTATAAAACTGGGTAATAAGTTCTTCCCCAGAACTTAAATTTTCAATGGAATTCACTGATGCTGAGTAAAACTAATTGGATAAAAGAAAAGTAATTTTTTGGGATGTACACAAAAATACATTTAAAGGATTGAATGAAATTGAAATAACACCCTTCTTGTATAACTGACTCATTAAAAACAAAGTTTCTCAGTACTTGAAAAAATGTAACAAAGGAAGGAGTAGAAGAGATGCTGAATCCTATCTCACCTGCTCAACAGACAACATTCATCAATGAATGACTGCATTTTCGGTTGGCATACATCAAGCTGAGGCAGGCTAACTCAGGAGCTTTGCAGTAGGCAGGGAAGCCTCCTGGAGCCCTTACTATCTTTATGGTAATCACAGGAAGTTGTATAATAAATGCAGTTTCAAGAGAGACTTACACACTAATACATAAATGTACATTACAAGTCTAGCAAATTTGTAGCAAAGAGTGTTGATAGGGATAAAAATATCTTATAATTACACTCTTGGGTAGGTATATAGGGAAATATAAGTTTGAAGGGAAAAAGTAATGATGCTGCTTTTAATTTTTTATGACAATACAGTTTTTATTATTTTATTATTTTTTTTTTATTTTTTTATTTTTTTTTTTGCGGAACCGGGGATTGAACTCAGGCCCTTGCGCTTGCCAGAGAAGCACTTATTCCACTGAGCCATCTCCCCAGCCCCCAGTTTTTATTATTTTAAATTTTTAAAGGAGAATAACAAGTAGTAAAAAAATTAGAAACAATACAAAATTTCACTGAACAAAATGATAAGAATTCAATAATGGGTTGTTATATTGCATAATGTTTCCTTCGAAGTAGTTGTTCAGGGGCCGAAGAGATAGCTCAGTAGAATAAGTGCTTGCCTGGCAAGTCAAGGGCCTGAGTTCAATCCCCAGTTCCGCCAAAAAGAAAAAAAAAAGTAGTTGTTCACATCGCCAGATATAAGCATGCAAAATTGGTTTTAAAAAGTATGAAAAATTAAAAAGGAGAGGGAAAAAATTTAAGCATTAACTGCTTCTTTCAATAACTGTCAAAGAGTACGTCCAAGTTTTTTTTAAGTAGGTAATGAGGGGGCAAATTGTTAGTGTTTAGATTCTACTGTGTATGCAGTACTTGAAAGATCAACAGTTTTAACTTAATATGTCAACACTTATACAACAGAAACCTTTTACAACTGCTTTAACTTAAAATGGGTAAACCAGAAATACCTGAGTACCACCACAACTTTTAATAGCTCATTTCGGGCCAGGTATTGGAAGTAGGCAATCACCATATTTGCCAGGAATTTAAATAAAGGAACACGCACTCAATGCCTTCAGTATAGTGCCAGTCAACACTTTGATGGCCTCATCTTAAGCACTCCTTTTGCATATTACAATCTGGCACATGTTCACACTTTGATTGTCACAAAAATGTGATTACAAATGGAGCAAATTCAAGAGGATCAAATTCAATGCTCCAAAAAATGTCAACTTTCAATGAGAAAGTATGTAACTTGGAATAATACTTTGCCACTGGTAGTGTGATACACAAAATAATTCTAACTCAGGGAACATTTTCATCTTCCTTTTTATATTTTACCTTTCCTGGGGCACAGCAAACCAGTATTCATGCTTCTTGTCTCTCTGTGCATACTGCTGCATCGTAGCGCTGGCCTGGGACACAAACGTCTTCCTCATTGGCTTCCCAACTCTGAGACATAAGAACTTATGTAATCGATGCCTCCTCTTTTCCTTTAGAAGTGCAGAACCTAGACCCGAGATGCAAACAGTGCTCATTCAGCTCTCAGACATCATGGCACAATTCACTAGCACTTTTACCTCCTAACTTCCAGCCATAAATAAAAACTCTGTTTACTGGTATGCAGAATGATTCACTCAAGTAGCTCATTATTTTCCATCAGAGACAAAGTCACAGATACAGTAAGACTAAACAAAAGACAAATTAATATACTAGGAAGATTACAAAGAATGGAAAACCTTCAGGAATCCTTTAATTTTTTGTTTATAACAATTCTGCTAATTGGATGTACATACAGAATTTTCTGCATATTCCCCAATAGTCTTTACAATTATATCTAAATAAGTCTTCAGACTTTTTAAAGGCATATTTTAATATGGTTACTACAGAGAAGAATGAGATTTCTGAAGCTTTTACATACATAAAAAGGGATGACAAATCAATCAACAATATGCTAGATTCAGCCAACTTGTCCGCACAGGTAAGTAAGCCTAAATTATCTCTAACACTCCCTGTCAGAGAGCTGATATAAAGTATACTGATGGTCTGATTATACACTTAAGTTTAGGAACCTGGATATTAATTCAACCTAAGGTAACACACCTTGGATAAAGTACAATGGATAAAGTACATTTACAGAGATACGGGTGTTGGTCATGGTTTGCTGGGTATAAAGTTGGGTGAAATACTGAGCCCCAGAATTTACACTGGCTAAACTGAAGAGTTCATATTATTCTTCCCATAGAAGTATTCTACAATTTTGTATTTAATATTAACTTACTCACATACCTAATAACATGTAACAATTTTTCTCATTTTAGTATTAGTTATAATAGGACTGCCTTTATTAATTCTCTTTGTCCCCACAACAATCTTCTTAAAATTAATCTATCATTTTTTAAGACTTCAAAATATAAAGTAATTTTATATCAGATACATACAAATAAACTATACAAATGCTAAATAATAAACTATGTGTAACCATACAAATATATTTACACCAGCATTATTTATGTCCTAATAATATGCAAATGGCTGAATAAATTACGGGTTATTAAAATCATGTTTTCAAAGAACTATAATGACATACAAAAACCTTCATGACATAAACGCTACATTGAAATATGGATAAACACTAAATATAATCGTGACTTTATACAAAGCTCCCTATGTATAGGTATATACAAATATCAAAATTATATATATATATATATATATATATACACACACACACGCATATAGGCATCCACATATGTAATACCCTTCTAAGAATAAGTGTACTAAATATCAACAATGATCATCCAAGTGACAAATACTACGTTTTTATCACTTGTGTAGAAAGATCCTATATTTGTCAAATAAAAAATATTACAGAAGAGAAATAATCATATCTTTTATAGAACTTGCCTCAAATAAATGTATGCATTAGTGAAGAGCATCCTAAAGTCTTTAAGGAACCTCAACTGGACAATGGAAAGAAAATTTAGTATTATAAAAATGGGACAGAATTTTTTAGGCACTGCTGGTTGAGTTATAAGATGGTGCAGCCCCTGTGGAAAACAGGTAATTCCTCAAAAATATAAACACAGATTTTCCATATAACCCAGAAATTCCACTTTTGGGAATGTGTCCCCCAAAAACTGCAAGTTGGGACTCAGATCTCATAGCAATGTTCTTCACAACAGCCAAAATTCAAGACACCACACACACGTCCATCAGTGAATTAACAGACACACAGAACATGGTGCCAGAGCCTTGAAAACGCAAAAACCTCACACAGGCTGCACTGTGGAGGGGCCTGGACAGATTATGCCAAGTGAAGGAATCAGGCGCAAAAAAAAAAAAAAAAAAATTTGGTGTGACTCCACTTACGTAAGATACCCAGAATAAGGACAAAAGCAAAAAGTGTAACTGAGCTGGCCAGGACGTGGGTAGGGAGAACGAGTGCCTCCTGTCCTAGCCTGGAAGACGAGAAGCTGAGGGCAGGTGCTGCTGATGGTCACACACCAAGGCTGCACGCACACCAGGCCACTGAAGAGCTCAGAAATGGTCAGAATGGTAAATCTTGTATTTTACAATTAAAGAAGTCAAAATGTTGCTTTATTCCATTATATTTAAGCTCAATAAAATTTTTTGAACTAAAAGAAAGAAATGCATACACAAATTGAGTTAATCTGATATCTAATTCTAACAGACCTAATGTAAGAAATGTTTGCTAAGCTACTTGAGCTATGGCCACCTTAACATGTAAGGTAAGGAAGAAGTATAGTATATGAGAAATAAAAGCTAGTCTATTACCATAATTTTCTGAATAAGCAGAACAACAACAAAAAACCAAAAGAGAAGACTATGTTTTTACTGACCCTGAATGTTTTTTAAGGAAAATATCAGGTGATGACAGAACTTCTGGGTACTTGGAAAAATTGTAGAAACAGATTTTTATGTCAAAATGTACTTTCAAAAACAAAAAGGTGGAGTACAACTTCGGCAGTTATAAACTGCAATTTGAAACTTATATAGCTAATGATAAAAGACAAACCATAAAAGATAGAGAGCTTGTGCGTGCTTTCAAAGGAGAGCACAGGAGTCGAGGTCTGGGTGCAGAGGGAGAGGCAGCCGTTCTGTGCATACCTCTGTGGAGTGTGAGGTGCAGACGTGGCAGAGGAGGTACTTGTCCTAGCACCTCCATGGGGGGTTAACCTTCTGACCAGGTAGGACACGGCCGTTTTTGAGTTGGTGCAGAAAAGAAGAACACACATTAAAACGCACTCCCTCCGCTTGCTCCTTAACACTTACCTTCCACATGTCCATCAGTGGATGCAATTTTATGCTGAATTTCTTTCTGTGACACCTGCTGAATGTTTTCCCTGTGCTGTTTGGTTTGCTGCATGGTGTGGGTTTTCCAGAGTTTGCGCAGCTCTTCAACCTCTGAGTCCTGACTTTGGTCCTTTCCTTCCTGGCCTTTGTTAATAGTTTGCTTTTGTTTAAATTCTGTCATTTCCCCACAAGGTACATGTTCTTTCCCACCTCTGTCTTGCTGAAGGGCGCTCTCACAGGGACAAGGATCATGGTCTGCACGCCCTTTTTCACTCGGCTCCGTAGGGCCTGATGCTTCCGGAAGGTTGTCTGTCACCAGATCACCTTCCTGAGCAGCCATTTCAAGATGACTCACCTCGGTTTCATGAGACACAGGCCCGGCTCCTTGGGCAGAATGTCCAGTGCTGACTTTGAAGTGAGCAGAACTACTAGACTCTGACTGGGCCGTGAGCCCTCCCACCCCAGGCTGACTGACAGTTTGCACAGATTCTGAGGATGCCCCAGATGGCTTAGCCGAAGAGACTCGCCCCTCGTGGATGGGCGAGAGCTCTGACTCTGCGAACACGTCCTCAGAGAGAGACTGCTCGGTGCTCCTGGGAGCCGTGCTAGCACTGTCGTTGCCTGCATCACGAGTGCAAGAGGCTCCTTCCTCGGTACTCATTCCTGTTGCAAAAGTCCTTCCCGATAACAGATCTATTTCTCTGCCATTAAACAAAATTAAAGACGTCAGACTTTAAAAATTGTACTATTTTACTTTCTATAAATTGAATACTGAATTAAAATTATTAAAGAGGTTTCTGAAAGAGTATGCATCTCAACAGAATATATTTGATTTACTCCAGCAGATGAAGTCAAACTTTTATAACAACAGCTCAAGATGCAGGAAATAGTAATGTAAGATTTCCTTGCAGGTAATCTACTTGAAGAAAATCTGATGATTAAAATTCTGGATAAAGTTTCAATTTCTTCATGCAAGTATATATGCAGGATGGCTAAAATTACTGTACTAATAATTTTCATCAGTTTTTCTGAAAATAGCAGTTCATGTTTCGAATTTTCACTTTGACTCTGAATGTTGATATCTGTGATCTAAGCAACTACATTGAGGACAGCAATGTGCAAAACATTTATTTTTTGTTCAGAACCAGGGATTGGGGTTTGTTTTTTTTTCGGTAGCTCAGACTGCCTGATAGGCAGATGGGGTTGGGGATCGAATCACGGTATTCTGCTCCTGACTGCCTTTGCCAGAGCAGGCACTTAAACTGAGCTAAGGGCAGGCCCCCAGCATGTGCAATACAAAAACCATGTTTGAATATTTCTCGTCCTGGTCTTCTAAATGTGTACCGTTTCTAATGTCTTTTCAATTATTATTATACTCTCTTTAATAGAAAAATTTTTTTAAAAGGGCTAGCCAGATAGCTCAGCAGATTAAAGCACCTGCCTAGGCAGACACAGGGGCCAAGGGTTGGAACCTGCTGTGCTGGTTCCAGCCCCAGGGCACGCTGAGACAGTGATTGAGACTGGGTATACCTGTAATCCCAGTGCTTGGAAGGGTATAATCAGGAGGACCACTACAAGTACAATCTACGTAATGAGACCTTATAGACCCTGTACTAAATGCATTAAAAAAAAAAGGAAAAAAAAATGAAGGTTTATTGAAAGTCAAGTGTTAATATTCAGTTATTTGTCCAATCTGGCATAGCTATATCTGTTAATCTTAGTAACAGATCTGATAATAAAAATAGATAATATAACAACCATTGTTAATTTGCTATTCTTGTTCTGAAAAATCTGTCTTTGTATCTGCTATTTCTTTTTGCTTTTGTTTTTACTCTTCAGAAGAAATTTTTAAGAAATTCTAATTTTAAACTGAAATGTAGTCATTGGTGGGATGTATGAAATATACTTAATTAAAATTTTAATTAACATTTTAAATCTTGTAGTAAAAGATATATTACCACACACATATGCACAGTGCTTATTTACACTCAAATAGAGATTGAACCAAAATACTGGCTTGCAAGTAAGGGATGCATGCAAACCAACAGGACTGAAGCAAACATGCTTCCAGTGTATATTCACACCAACAACCATTCTTTATAACTGATGCACAAGAACTGTCCAGTTGAAGAATACAGGTAAGAATAATTTTGTATGTTCTTTACTGGGTCAGATCTCCATCATAAATTCCATTTGTTTAGGCAAACACTGGTGTCACAGGCTATGCTTTACACTTTGGAAAGAATCAGTGTGAGTGCCTGGGTCATGAAGCAGCAGTCAGAAATGTAGAATGATGGTTGCAAGTATTCTGTGACAAATAGAAACTGCATGAATTCTCACTGCAGAAAGTGTTAACCTTTGTGCATGGACAGTTGGAAGACCAGTTAAAAATATCCTGCACAGAAAAGACTGGAAAATACACCAGCACAAAAATAACTGGCTTTCTCTGGATGGTGAAACTGGGTAACTCTTTTTCCGTTTCACTATTTTAGATTTTTCAAAAATTTTCCAACAAGTATATGTAATTTTTATAACTAGAACGTGTGAAATTTATTTTTAAAACGTTATTTGGCTGAAGCCCAATTCCTATGTGTACTGCCTTTGCACTGGAATCATCTTTTAATACAGGCAGCCAGTTCAGGCTGTGGTGTCATCTACTGGTGATTCACTCAAACTGCACCTTTCGGAGGTTTCAACATGATCTGGGAAACTGCTATCACAAGAATCCTAAAAACTCATATAATCTTCTTCAGACAAAACAAATATAATTTTCTCATTTCTCCTTTGTAAACTGTTCTTTCCAAGAATTGAGTTTACAATAGCCAGAAGTCCCTGTAAGCCAACAGAATCATGCAGGGAGAAAGCGGGAAGCTCTTTCCTATGACATATCAATTTTCTTCCTTTGCATGCCTGCTGCTACAGCTCTATTTATCTTTCTTCTTTTTCTCCCTCAGGTCATTAGTCTGGTCAAGGGCACTACCTCCAAAGGAGCCACCCAACTTGTGTAAGGAAACTTCTCACACAAATCCCCTAACCAGGAAGTCCAAAGTTAACGCTTCACATTAGTGTAGCTTATGGGCTTTCTGCCTTGTATTTTATGCTTTTCTAGGGAAGAAGAGAGAAAACATTTAAGTCAATCCTTCAGTAGCTATGCTGGCTACAGCAATAGCAGGTCTATACCTCATCCTTTAAGAACTTCTGAGAAAATTCTCAAAACTATCTTTCACAATCATTGGAAGTAGCTTAAATTTCTTAATGGTATAGCTAAAAAAAAAAAAGGGCTGGTAAACACTGATGGATACTTTTCAACTATGTGGTTCTCTGACTGAAACCAGAAAAAGAAATTTAAAATAGTTCCTAACTATTCTAGATGCACTAAGAATAATCTTCTATTACCGCATACGGTTCTTGTTTCATTACTGACAAAATGAAAAACTGCTATAATAAAACCACTAACAACAGTTGGCAGTAGCAGAGCAGGGTCAACTCTCTGGGTGCGACCAAGCACAGCTGAGGGGAACTCTGTCCTTACGCGGGTAAAGACTCCTTGACCTTCCTGTCCAGAACGTCTCTGTACATGGCAGCTGACATCACCTCCTCCATTGGACACATGATGCCATACTCCTCACAGCCGTTCTCTTGGACCAGAGGGTCGGTTTTATGTGGATCAAACATGATATTGTTGGGTGTAACCAGCAGCACGCCACTGACTGTGCCCTAAGGTGAATAAAAAAGTAATACTTAATTTTCACAACTCAAATCTCAAAACTATTGAACTGTTTTGCTAATTGTCCTCTGTCATTAGGCCATCACATATTAAATTCTACAGCAATGGCACTGTCATTAAAATACTTAATAACAATATTTTCCCAGTAAATTCTGCCCTGTAGCAGGGCAGAATATAAAGAATATCATATTCTACCTATAACCATCAAGTCAAGAATTAAAGTAAAATAGTGTTATATCTCATATCCATAAAATAACTTCAGACAGGTAACAAGGGATGCGATGAGGCCAGCTTTATGCTAATTTGCAACTTCTTCCTGCATTACTCATTCTCTACAGGTGCCAAATACAGTTTTATGTACACAGTGCAGATTATCAAGTTACCCTGGACAGTTCAGTCCATAATAAATGGAAAATGTCATGGCTTCATTAAAATCTTTTTAAAAATCATTCCTTTCACTTGACTTTGTGACCCTGGGGAAGCAGAGCTTCTAAGCACTTCTTCATCTGTGAGATTAGATAGATTATGTGACCTCTAAAGTACACAGTGATTATTACGAATTTCTCCATGAAAAGCTATGAAATTTTAAGTGCATTTCTATAAATACAGACACAAGCCCCAAGAGTCTACCCACTTTCTATAAACTAAGTTCAAAAGCAGCTGATCCAAGTAATACTGGCTAATATTTACTGAATGTTCCCTGTGTATCAAACTTCAAATAGCCATCTATTTAATCTTCATAATCATATCACAGTGAAGTGGGTATAATAATTACTTTTGTATAAATGGGAAATCCTAGGCTGCAGAGGTCCAGATGACCTGTCCTCTCCAACCAGGATTCGAAATCTAGGTGGTTTGTGCTTTTTACTATAATTCTTTGGTATCTGTGTTACAAACCACAATCACTCCAAATCCAGTGTGATCCATTCCTTGCTATCATTCACTCAGTCCACTCTATTCTGTAAATCTAAAAATGAAAAGCAGCCGAATTCATGGGAAAGATGCCCAGGGCCACCTGTCCTAAGTCTCCCTGCTGCAAGAGACAGTACAGTCATAAGAGAGGGACTCTCGGCTAAGAGCGCAATCCCACAACGCCACAGACGAGAGAGCAGTGCTCAGCAGAAGCAGGGGACCCGACCCCCGGCCTCCACAGTCAGAGCAGCTTACAGGCCTCACCAACTCTGGGCCAGAGTCTCAGTGAGTGGGAACATCAGCTACAATCTGGCTGCCAGCTTGTCAAGTGAAACCTAAGCACAGACCAAGACCAGAACTAGCTGTTTCTAAGAAATTTAACTATGTCCCAGGAAAAACAAGAACATACACAGGAAAACAAAAATTTCCAGTGCCCAAGAAAATAAAATTCACTGTTTGGTATCTGAAGAGAAACTGTTATTTATAAGAAGAAAGAGGAAACAATGACCCCTACAACAGAGAAAAAAACTCAACAGAAAAAAACACTAAGTGAGGGTGAGAGAAACTTGGTAGAAAAAAGATTAATGTAATTATTATAAGTATCTTCTAATAAAGAGGTTATGGATGATATACGGAGATATGGAAAATGTGAGGCTCCGTTTGGACTTAAAGAATGGACAGTGGTAATGATGAGGCTGAAAATACTCTGAAGTAGTTAACAATTACATATGATAGGCGACCCTGCACTTAGATACAGTGGTCACAATAATACAAAAGGGAAAAAGACAAAAAGAAAAGAGTATCAGGGAGCTGTGTGAGATTATGTTAAACAGCCAAAAGTGACATAACTAAAGATCTCAAACAAGGAACAAAAAAGGAAAAGAAAAAATATTTGAAGAAATATGACCAAAAATTTCAACATTTGAATTAAGTTACAGATCCAAAAGCTGAATTAATCAAAAGAAAATAAATATGAATAAACACACCAAGGTACATCATAATCAAATTCTCCAAAATTAGTGATAAAGATAACATTTTTAATATAACCAAAGGTACTTTTTCTTATAGAATGTCTAAGTTCTAAAAGGGTAAAAGCCTTGCTGACTTTTAATTGCAGACTATTACAAGGTAAGTCATATGTGGATTTTCAACCACATGGAGGTCAGTGTCCTTAACCTGTGTGATGCTCAAGGATCAACTGTAAGGTTCTTATATTGCATGTAAAGTGCTATGTTTCTGAAGTGAGGAGACAGTCATCAGCTAGTTCTGTGTCTAGTACAGCACTGTCCAAATGCAAACAGGAGATGACGACTCCGGGTAACAGGCAGCTGTGCGGGAAGATATTCACTCCCACTTCCTTGAGGAGGTCCAAGTTTGGCTAAGCTCCAAGATGACTGGGAACGCCTATACAGGGAGACCGTGCACAACGGGAATTCTCATTGTGCACAGGATACAGAACATTCCAGGCCCTGGAAATGGGGCAGTTTCTTACGAATTAAATGTATCTTACACCTTCCTGAGGTGTGTTCCCTGGCATTTATCCAAGTACAGGGCAAACTCAAATTCACAGAACATCCACACTGCAATGTTCAGAGCAACTTTTTTGTAAGGGCCAAAACCTGGTATCAACTAAGACGTGGTTCCCCCTGTAAGGGGGACATGTGTATATAATATAAAATAGCCACACGGTGGAATATTACTCATCAATAAGGAGTAATGAGGTGTTGTCAAGCCACAAAAGACCTGGAAGACTCTCAAAAACATGCTGTTAAGTTAAAAAGGTTGATCTGACATCCTATAGCCATACTGTTTGATTCCCATTTTATGGTACTCTAAAAAAGGCTGGAGACAGTCACCAGCTAGCAGAAGCCCAGGGGAACGACAGGAGGGAGGAGTGTGGGTGGCATACAGAACGCCAAATAACCTCAACCCAATTAAAAACACACTAAGACATATAATAGCCAAGATCCCAGAAATTCAGCACAAGAATAACATACAGTAAGCCACTAGAGAAAAGAAGCAGATCATATTCGAAGGAAAACCCATCAGAATTACTGCTGACTTCTTGTCACAAATCATGAAGGCAAGAAGACCATGGAGCAGAGTACTTCAAGTCCTCTATGAAAACAAATTCCAGCTCAGACTACTATATCCTGCAAAACTCTAATGCAAGTTTGATGGAGAAGTGAAATACTTCCATGACAA